TGCGTAGGACGGAACCGAGGGATTTCAACTGGCTCAACACAATCAGCTTGTTGAAGGGAATACCCGCATTCCTTAAGACACGACATCTAACTTCAACTTTGCAGATACGTCCTTGTCACCAAACACGACCAATCCTAATCAAACACCCATTGTCGAAGGCTGACAGCCGACGCATGTCACCCACGCAAACTGGCCACGACTCGCTTCCATATTGCAACACCACCCGAACGGTGGCATAGTAACCACCATCTTTTACCAAGAGGGAGACATCCAGATGATGCCACAGGTATTGCAGCTTGACAAACGCCGACTGGGCTTTGAAGGTGCGGAGAGAAATTTCCTTGCTGGTAGCGCCACCAGCGGACGAACAGTTGCCCAAGTATACCAGGCAATTAACGTGTTGAGGTTGTGTACGTTCAAGAGTGGGCACGGGAACTGGTGAGTGCCAATCTTAGGGAAGCACTTTACACTTCCACGTGGAAAGCACATTCCGTACCTAAATGTCTTGATCTCCAAACTGTTTAGAATGGTCTGAATACTCTGCTAGTATTCACTAAATGGGTGTTGTCGTCAAATCCAATTTGGTCATTTGCTTGCCCGGTAGTAACTGCAGACCAAAATGTTGGTAATATTCCAGCTATCTCTACCGATTCCTGCACGAGCAAAAAGTGCGCAATTGGACAAACGTTCAGCTGACATTCGCTGGACGTGACCAAGTCATTTTAGCTGATGCAGCAAAAGTAGCTGGTTGAACGAAATGCTCGCATTCCCTAAGACAACACGTCTGACATCAATGTTGTATCTAATTTGTTGCCACCATACACAACCAATCCTCCTCATGCACCGGTCTTTGAATTCAAAGAGCCGGCGAATGTCGTCCACGTGAACTGACAATACTCGCAAGCTCATCTAGCTCATTCTGCCCACTGCTCACAGAAAGCCTGGTGTCAGTGGACTATTTGCGAAGAGGATGCTTCGCCGTTTGCTAACTTGTTGGGACGTTTGGATCGATATGCGGAACATTTCCATTTATAGTTCAAGTTGCCTTACCCGTCCAGTTGTATGTCCCACGAACCAAGTTGCTCAAGCCGAAGTAGGAATGCACAGACTAGTTTTCGATACACTACACAACCTGTCCTATCCCGTCATATGTTCTCCCCATAAATCCGTAACTGCGCACTTTGTTTGATTTAACAACAGCCGTGATATTCGCATTTGGTCTCAGGCATGCGTGCTATGGTTTACAGTCACACCAAAAGTTCACTCGCCGTCTTATCGGCTATTGGCTGTCGTTTCGCACGCGTTCATGTCGACCTGGTGGGACTTTTGCCACTATGCAGATGCTGTGTGTACCTCCTCGCCTGTGTCGACAGCTTTTCACGTTGCCCAGCAGATGTTCCGATTGCCGATTACTCATGCGAAACCGTTGCACTTGCTTTTTGAGAAAGATGGGTAGCTCAGTTTACTTGCCCTGCCGTAGTCAATACCGACGAAGGAATACACTTTGCTGGATGCTTTAGCAAACTACTCAACGTATTTGGTTGTCAGCACAACAGAATCACCGCATGCCACCCTGTAGCTAACGGGATGGTAGAAAGGTTCCACCGACAAATCAAAATATCACTTTGCGCTCAAACTAGCGAATGTTGGCACGAAGCACTTCCGCTCGTTCTCTTAGACATAATGAACATGATCAAAGCAGAATTGTACGTCACACGATTTTCGCTGGTATTTGGTTGCACTCAGCGCTTACCTGGTGAAACTGTCTCATCGAAAACCCCAACGACTCTTGGTTGGGGACACTAAGCAGCGCACTCATCTCATCACATACGACAGCTTCTGTCTGTGCAACCTAGAGCACAGAGGTTGGGGACAAAGGTGGACGAATGCCTTACCACCTGAACCCAGGTGTTCGTTCTCACTCATAGCGTAAGCCGGTCACTCCAACCACTCTATTCTGGCACGTAACGCATACTACGCAGCATCGACATGATATTTACCGTTGACTATAATGATGAAACAGAGTCTATCAATATGGACCGACTGAAATCCGCATTTCTTGATGACTCTGGCTTCGCGGTGTAACAAGCACCCCAGCCTACTCAATCACGACTAGCGCCACAACCTCAGACCACTCAATCCGCCACAACAAAGCTTACAGCCTCAACCGACATCACATATACGGGACCTGCTATCAGCGGACATTGTAGGGAAATCAAAACTCTTGTTCGTCTCTTGGACTTTGCTAGTGCCTTTCATTTCCTTAAAGCTTACCTCACATTCCCATATTCAATTTTCATGCGCCCAAAAATGATAAAAGCGTTTTGAGACAGCCAGGAAAGAACAAAACATATTCAAATTCTAAAGTCAGCTTCGTAAAGTTTTCGTAGTACACCCTTTTGTGTATACTTTTACATTTACGCCGCTCTTTTCTATTTCACTTTCCATGTCGTTTGCAACTTTCGCTGCATACCCAAAACACAACTTTACACACAGCGAGCTCCTGGCTCAGCCGGTTATTCGGACCATTGCGAACTGCCCCTCCCCCACAAACATTTTTCTCCGTCTTAACACCTTCGGGAAGACAGGTGGAACCCGCTAGGATCTGATCTCACTAGTGCGCCCACAGCAGCAACATCGTTTTACCACCTGGTCTCGCAGAATGCTGGCCACCGATGGATGTTCCTCACGTAGATTGAAGGACTGCCTACACAGTCCCTTCTGAGGAAGAGGTATATAGCAGTGTAGGGATTCACCCGGTTTGCCTGTGTAAATTTCAACTAACACTATTATTTCATTGTACACTTAGGGGATCCGTGTAGCATGTTCAACTGCACAATGGTTTCTTATGTCTGAGTTGATCCCTGCTATCTTGCTTGGCTTCCGTTCGACTTGCGAATCGCTACTACTCGTGTTTTGCGCAATTTCGTTCCTCTGGCTAGCAATGTCCATCAGTCTTGTTTAAAGCTAGACATAAAAGGGATACTTTAGTTGGCGAAATAAAAGCTTCCCTGTATTCGATCTGTCTTTTGGAACCGTTATCTGCGCTCCTGCTAAACAGCCAGCGTCCAATAGCAACCAGGTACCCAATTGTGTGCGTATACTTCGTTGCTATATCTGGTAGTGCAGTAGATAACGGTGCGGGTTCTACTAGCGAAAAATTAGAACTACTTTAGTCAAATGGATACTTTGAACTCTCTACGGCTATCCATCTTATTGTGCACTCAGGCATTTTATCGTGCTGTCTGTATCGAGGTATGCGTATCCATTGGCGATCGACCGGTGAGAAGCTGTTATCCAGCTAACAAATGTGCTTGTAGCGTAGTGCAAATAGACTGCATATTCATTGTGCCACTGTGACACATTTGCGTGACGAATTAAGTTCAGTTGCTGGAGTGTCACGTGTCACCATCAGGCAGGAACGAAAGACGGTATTGGGGTTGTCAAATGGACGAAATTCCGACGAAAGCCCGAACGGAGAACAAGCTTGAATGGAAAATCGTGCAAGGCTGTGCCAACGATCCGTGCTACAGCTAGGAGCGCAAGGTCTACTCACGAATTAGTTGATCTCGGGAAGCGTGTTCTTGTAAGCTAAAGGCGTTTATAGGGTTGATGTCTTCCGATCTACATCTTGTATGTCTTTATGCTGATAAAATAATTTGTGTGCCAGGGAGAAAACGATGCTAGTCACTGCACTCAAGCGGAATTGCTTACATGCATGGGATCCTTTTACATGGTATTGGAACATCGTAAAAGCAGGCATAAAACCTTTATGTAAGTCTAAGTACGACTCTAGATTTTTTTAATTTGGTTACAGGAAATGAGTTTGACATAGGAATCATGTATAAGCATTTATCATATTACATTAACTGTGGCATATACGAAAATTTTCTGCCAAATGACGGGGAGTATAAATACGCATCCATGCAGTGCATGTATGACACAAAATAAGGCGTATCAAGTGCATTGCACCCAGACTACTTTTACCTCTGCGTAATTTTTCTAATACTTTCTAGCTTTTACTAACTTGGTGCTATTTGCAGTTGTCAATAGGCTTACTTTACTAACCGTAGAGTAGCACGTTCCGATGGATCCCGTGACTCAGCTGCTTCTGTTACCAACCATTTGTGCCTAATTGAACGCAATGTACAGTTAGCAAAAGCGCTTCTGATGATGATGAATGACTTGATAGTATCCAGCGTTATGTTGATTCTCGCCGAGTCTCTCCACATAATCGCGTGTCCGCTATTTTCTTTTGTTCACAAATATGATTACACAATCACGCCTAGACTAGTCAAGATTAGTTCACCTAAATGCCATGAATGTTGAAGCTCAGACCGAGCATTTTATTTGGTTACTTAGCGTAACTCTCATTGCTGAAGACAGCTTAAACATAACTGAACGACATTGCGATCAATAGAGTAAGAATGTGGTTTAATTGTCAGAATTATCTAGTAAGTGCTCTGACCGCTATCCAAATTGATGCACCAGCCTGAATGGAAAAGGATGCACTCTTATAATATTTGCATTCGCAAAAACACATCACCTCTGACTGAATTCACTTAACCGGTGATCTTCATAGTGCTCAAACTTTTAAGCGTTTTCTTGTCTTTATCCCCCTCTGAGGCATATTATGCTAATACTAGTTCGAAAGTTTGTCATGGTGTAGACCGAATTGCACCAGCTCAGTAGTAGGTAAACAGTAAGCTCGCAAAATCAGGCTCGCTCACTGATTGGTGCTATCGGTGATATGCACTGCGGTCTGTTCTGATTATTGTGAGCAGTTGCACGCCACAGACAAGCAGCACACAGCGGTTGTATCGTGAAAGCTCCCTTTTGACCACTTAACCTACCACTATCATAAAATGAATTCCATTGCTATCTCAACACCGCAGATGTTGGACATGTAATGGGCACATAATATGTTCTGACTTTGAACAAGTATTAGTAGTGTGTGCTAACGGCGAACGATGCAAGGCCTTAACAAGGCTGTCACTTACCGGTACATACTTCCACAACAGGTTCTAAAATAAAAACGGGAAACTGGGCAGAAACAAGAGAATACAACGGAGATTTAGTTCTATCGCAACAGGTAAACCTAGTAGTAATGACAATGCGGTTGAAGGTGTATGGTGATGTAGATTGAAATGTTCGATTACTTAGCACTGGAAAAGCGTTTTACTATCACTGAGATACCTACCCGTAACTTCACTCTGCTACTGCTCCACACTAAAACTTTCTCCCTTGGGTAGGCAGCACGTATTGCAGCACGTATCTGTGGAAGGGGATAAGTGAAACGTAATTTTACTTCGTTGTCAACTCATGTTATCCAGCTGAGATCATAACATGGGGGCCAGTGTAGCAGGTACGAAAATTTACAACTCACCTGGTTGCATACAATATAGGTTTCTATGTACAGGGCACCCTTACGGCGTCTGATTAAATGTTTGTCTTTCAACGCGTACCATCTTCCCTTTCTGTTTGAAATCTGCATTGGTCAGATTGGCAAAAGAGTGTTCAATAGATGTTTGTGACAGATTGCATTATAGACTAAGAGGAAACAAATTCAATGAATAACATTAATTAATAATATTAATTAATTAATAATAATAAATATTGATGTTATAGTAGCTCAGCCTATGAGCCATCACGGCCGGCATGTGTTCATAAATGCAGCTGGTTGCATTTGTGTGGCGTTTTAAATGCCAACGATTTTTGTGGGCAGCTGTTTTAAACAATTTCGCTAGTAAAATAGACCCACAATTTAACTCCTTCGTTGATGCAATCCACGACCAATATTAGACTCCACGCTTTCACTGTCACCTGGCTTGATAAGTAAGGAAAGCTGATACTGTGGCATGAATCTACCAGTTCGTCTGGTATTCTCTTCCCAGTTGTGTTTCTCTTGCTGCGAATATGCTGTTCAGCCATTTAGCTGACCTGTTCACTGGCTTGATCGAAAGGCAAATTGTTGCTGGCATTTGTGAAATAAATTTCTTAATGCTACTTGGATGACAATCTAATCCTTACTAGCGACCACTGGAAGTTCTGAATTCGAAGTAACTCAATCTGTTGGTATACGGTGAGGTGGAAAAGCACGGTAGCCTATGTTTTTGGGCATAATCACTTAGAGAGGATCTGAAGGAACACTGCTGTGCGCCGTTGACCGCCAGGCAACCTGAAGCAAATAGTAACCCATCTTCCAGCTTCGTCTTGGTTGGATAAAATCGCCGCCTAATAAAAATACACTTCCAAAGAGCCCGGCGGATTTGCAGTCCAGAAATGTTGACACTGAAGAAAAGAATCTGCAGAAACAGTGTCAAATGGGCATCCCGAAAATCTCATCTGAATCCACAGCAGGTATCCCGAAAGAAACTATGGGTGCTAACTGTACTTAGAAAAGATGTTTATTTCTTCTTCCTGTTCAAAAGGGCACATGCTGCAATGAGGGAGGATAATAAATATAATAATGTGTCAGCTGTACTCCGTAACTGCACTTCGCTGCCGCGCGACCACCACCAGTCGCGCGCGGGCTGAGTATACCGCGAGGACGCCCACCCCTACGCGGATTCGAACCGGTGACCTTATGGTTGCAAAGCAAACGTGCAGACCACTCAGCCACTCGGCTTCTCTCATTGTGCACCAGGTCAGTTGCATTTGCACTGCCAGTCATATAGCCAGTAGTGACCGTAGACTGTCGCGGATGGCAGCTGAAAATTTGTCAGTGCTTGATATGGGTGACAGTGTAACAAAACCGATCGGATTCTACTTCGTACCGAAGCCCATATTAATTTATTTGTTAGGGAAGTTAACTTCCCCTTGGTTGGCTTATTTTGGGAGACTTAATGCGCAGTAAAACACCGTTGCAATTTATTTATTTAAACACTTCTTACTAGTGCTATTTCCTATTTCTTCGGAAAGACGTTTCTTTTCGCTTCTAGTTGAGTAGTTAGTTGTGCATTACCAACACTATGGATCAGTCTCCCTTCCTTCTGGGCCGATGTACTATTCAAAAGCTTTCTATTGTTATTTGTTCTAGTTAAACGCATGTCACTCGTCAGCCTGTGCACAAGTACAGTTCCTTGAATTTGGAGCGAGTAGGAAGCATGCGACCCGGGCGGTTACGATTTATGTGGCAAGCATATCACTATCCTGGAAACTCGTCATCGTATGAACACGGAGACCGTGTTTAAGGTGCTATTACGCAACAAAAATCAGATAGTGTTAGTAACCAGTGAGGTATTGCTTATTAGGGCCCATAAAATCCTGTCATAACTGCAGAACTTCTTAAGGCAATTAGATTGCTTTGCTCTCGATTATCACATGTAGACTGGCGTTACCATTTTTTCCACATGTATACGCGTGCATGTGCTCTGCTTGTGAAGTGCTTGCGATTGACGAGAACATTGGAAATGTTGACTTTGCGTCCTTTGGCCTCTCTCTGCTCTGACAAACTTTAACCTCTTTGTTACCCCATCAGTGCACACAAACGATCAGTATATTGGTATACTGTTCATAACAGCGTGCAACATCGTCACCACCAGCAACAGGAACAATATCAGTAATTTTCACTGGTGATTCGCTGCCACATAAAAACGGTTGGCAACATGCGTTTTCGGATTTGCCTGCCACATGAAGATAAAGCTCAGGATAATAATGCGGAACCTTAAGATGGGAGAAGATTCAATTTGTGTAAACGATAATGGTATTACGTATATGCAACATGGGCTGCCTAAGCATTGCAAACACAAAACATTAACAGAAGCTTGGATCTCCAGCTAAATCAAGGTGACATCGCCGACAGCTCCCTTGTGGCTTTCACTATCCAGTGTTTCAGGCTACTTTACGTTACCAAGAAAGCATCATCAGATGAATGCTGAACAGACTGTGCGGATAGGAGACAACTGCATATGTGCCATTGGTGATTTCACGAGCTGCGTCCCATAGTACCAGCAACTACAGAGTGGCCCATATGAACGACGGCGTGAAAGAGGGGACGAAATGACGGGAGCCAGCCTATAGAGGTCAATGACTTCACGTCTCTCGGATATGTAGACGACTACTAACCCCGAGCAACATACATTCCAAAACCTAGTGCACAAAGCACGACTATCCCGGGTAATCGGTGACCGGACTGCGTGAGGCAGCTTGTTGTCTTCCTGCACCAATGCGCCGAATGACGCACCCCTACCCAACCCGCCAACACAACGATACTTCCCGCTGCTCGGGGTAAAAACTGACTTGGTCCAAACAGTGACTAACGTAACCTAAGCGGGCACAGGAACCGTTGAGCCATGGGTCGGAGACGTTTGTCGGCCGGAAATCCATTGAACAACAAGCCCAATATCAATCGTAGCTCAGACAAGCGGGTCACAGAAATCATCTAAGAAATCACACGCTTGCTCTGTGCCAATATTCCTAAGAAGGAACAAACGTGAGCTTAAAATTTAAATGAAAGATAACAGGGAAGGAAAAAGCACGATAATGAAGAATGAGTGCACATCACTGAGCTCTATAACTTTCAAAACATCGTACGCTTTGAGGTAACCGGTCTAGTCTCCTCCCCAAATTACCACAGCAGTGGGCTAAAAATATTGTAAGTTAACTTGGCCTATGCTTGAGAAGATATCAATAGCGAACCAAGAGTGGCATGACAAGAGAAAACATGGGCCACCACAAGTACGGTTTATACCACTCCTGCAAGCAGTGCAGGCTCAAGGCGCAGATGAGCCAGACTTGGTTGTTCCTGCCTCAGATCAGTCAACTGTACAAACACCCGTTTTAAAATAGGTCAACAGACCGGCACTCTTTATGCCGGTCAAACACAGCAGCTTGGCTCAGTGGCTAGGAATACCAGGGAACTTTCACCTCAGCACCTACTAGCAAATGTGGCCGGCTTATCCAGTTTCAGTATTACCCAAGCAGCTCAGTAGATGAGGGCGGGCTCAAAGTGAAACAGATCGCTCGTCGAGGGCAAAAGTCGACCTATGAGGGTGACTTATGTTGAAGAGGCAAGTCCCAAATTCATCTTGTCCTGTCGGAATAGGCTGAATGGTCTAAAGATCCACGTGCGGCCTGACTTAGATCCAGCAGACAGAGAGAAACTCAAGTCTGCGATGATTGAACTAAAGCGACGCACGGACGATGGGGAAACAAAGTACTGTATTGTAAATTTCCAGGTAGTTACCCGGATTCCTCCTCGAATCCGGATCAACTGCTTTCTGATGCTTCAGGAGCGCTCAGCAGTTCCTACCGCGGCTTGCGCCTAGCCTTTACTAAAGTCTACAGTCTGATGAACCAGCGCGATGAGCTGTACTACTTTGTAAGCTCTCAGCGACCAGACATATTAGGCCTTGTTGAGACATGATTAAAAGCCGACGTAACCACCGAAGAAGTGGAAATCAGCGGCTATTCATGCATCCGCTGTGATAGACCATCAAATGATCGCGGTGACGCTCTGCTTTACATAAAGTCTTCTTTGTGTGGGAGACTAGTGAGCGCCTATCGAAGCGCTGATGGTCTACGTGAGCAGTTATGATGTTCGATCCACCTCAGACGCTGCGAGATACTCGTAGGCGTGGTATATCGCAGCCCACTGAGCCGCTGCTTGGACTGGTTGCCTCATGTTCGCAACCACATGAGTCGTCAGCTGTTCCTACTCATGGGCGATTTCAACATACCCCGAATACAGTGGCCTGAGACAGAACTTTTCCCCTGCCATTGTGAAGTTGAGAGGGAGTTCACGGAGTTGATATTTGAAACCGGGGCCACACAGCACATCAATCAACCGACACGCATAACTGCCGCTGCTACTCCATCGTGCTTAGACCTGCTTTTGATCAACTGTGAGCAACGTATACATGACATTCAAGTCTTAGAGCCTCTGGAAGCGAGGGGCCACTCGATGATCATAGCCAGCTTGGAACTGCCGCTACCGTATTCCCCGCTGGAGCTAGCCTGCAACTATTGGAAGGCTGACTTTAATGGCCTCATTCGAGCAACGAGCCAGATGGACTGGTCTTTACCAGAGCATTGGTCTACTGAAATCTGTTGAACTATCATTAAAGAGGGAGTGAAATCGTCGTGCGTCCGCTTTGTACCCTTCCATTATCGGAAAGTTGGGCCAGTCAAACCATATTGGTTTGACAAGGAGTACAGCAAACTGGCCCGACGATGAAGCAGACTATGGAACAAATTCCTGTTATCTGGCTCTGATGAGTACTACAAGGCGTACAAGGTACAGCGAAATCTCTGTAACAACGCGAAAACAAAAAACTCAGAATCTTCGAAGAGCAGCTTGCAACCGCCGCAAAACCTGCTCCCAAGAGGATCTTCGCCTTCCTGAAGCGGCGCCTGAGGCCTGCAGGCAATGTTCCAGTGTTGGAAGGCTCAGATGGACAGCCCTGACCTCGAGCACAGATTGTACGTCCGCATTGGCGGCACACTTCGCCTCCGTATTTGTAAGTGACCAGGTGTCTGTAACGAGTTCGACGAGTACCGCTCCCGCTGAACTAGACGGACTAGACTGCAACATTGAAGATGTATGCAAGCTTCCAGCAAATCTTGGCGGGAAGAAGCCTGCTGGGTCAGATGGAATCCACCTACTGATTCTCAAAAATCTAACGGCCATCATCTCGCCTTCTGTAACTAAGCTGTTCACCAGATCACTACCCACAGGGCGACTGGAAATGGTCAGTCGTAAAGCCAATACCGAAAGGTGGTAACTCAAGCAAAGTGAATAACTACCGGCCGGTCTGCCTGATCGCTGTTTTGGCAAAGAGGCTTGAGAAGATCGTGAAGAAGAGCCTTCTGCAGCTATTTGAGTCGAAAAGCCTCTTGACGCCCGCACAGCATGGTTTCGTGATGTGGCACGTGATGAGGCACGAATGGTTACAAGCGCTGAACCAAGGCAAATCGGTCGACCTCATTTACCTTGACTTCAGTAAGGCCTTTGACAAGGTAAATCATGCAGTGCTCCTCGACAGGCTGAAGATGATCGGTGTTGGTGGCTCGCTGCACCAATGGATCAGGGATTTCCTTGTTGATCGAAAGTAGAGGGTCCAGGTGGGCAACCATCTAACTAACTGGTATCCATCATGCAGTGGTGTGCCCCAAGGCATTTTATTGGGACCGATTTTGTTTCTCATCCTTGTAAATGATGTACCTCAACTATTCCAATCACCTTATGCGCTGTTCTCGAATGACATGAAGGTGTGGAGAGTAATCCGCACACCCAATGATTGTGATCTGCTTCAGCAGGACCTCGACCGCCTCTCCACTGGTCTGCAGTGGTCAACCTTCCGATCAACCCGGTCAAGTCGTAATTCATGAGGCTGGGTAAGTGTGAGCACAGTCGAATCTACGCGGTGGCTGGTCAACCGCTACATCCCGCGACTTCCGTGCGCGACCTCGGTGTACTCTCCTGCTACGACCTAAAGTCCAGGGACAACACGAATATTCCTTACCAAAACAGCCTTCGTATGTTTTGGGCGCTCAGGCGCAGCTTCAGCACTTGGTCCGAAGAGATTGCCTCTCGCCTCTTCGTCTCAATAGTACGACCAATGCTAGAGAATGTCTCACCTGCATATTGTTCTTTCACCCGGCGCGAGGTAGAAAAGATTGAGCGAGTGCAGCATGTAGCCACCAGGCTGATTCCCAACTTACGAGGTGTGCAGTACGAAGACCGGTGTAAGAAACTAGGGCTGTACACCCTAGCTTATCGTCGAATGCGGGTTCACCTCATCATGACGCACCGGATATTACATCTGGGAGGTTACCCCATGTTGAGGCCGCTGCTTCATCTGCGCACACCAAGCAGCACACGAGGACACCAGTACAAGCTTGTCATACCGGATTTGAAGCGGGTCGCTCACCAACTCTGTTCCGAACGCAGAGTGGTGAATGTATGGAGCGGCCTGCCACAGTAGGTAGTTGAGGCAAAGTCGGTGTCGGAATTTAGGAAGTTCCTGGACAAACACTTTGCCGACGCAAAATATATTGAGCGGAACACAACATAACGAGTATTTGTCCCTGAGTGGCATTAGGTGCAGCTACCTAGAGCAAACTCTATTTGCTGCTTCCAACTAGTAAGCAGTAATCAGGAAAACAGTGCCCAGTGAATTGACAATATCTGTCCTACGTTTCTTAAAATCTTGCTTCTACCATAGCAATACTATTTACAGCCTTTTTCCATTGTTTGCTAGGCGCTCATGCACTCCCATCAAAGTGGAAACATGAATCAATCAATACAATGGAGGTAGGCGATCGGATGCTGACAACAATCAACCTATTTTGTCAAAAGCGATGCGGTCGATAATCGCATATGAACTGATGGGAAGTTATGAAAGTCTGCTAGTCAGTTCCCATCTCCAACATGATTTCAGATGCAGACAATCTACTCTCATCAATTTGCTTCATTCTCAGGATTCATTGGCCAGGGCTACTGATGATGGATTCCCCATAGATGTGATCTACTTAGACTTTCTAAGGCCTTCGCCAGGGTCTATCACTTTGTTCTCCTCCACAAGTTTGCCGTCTACGCTATCAACTATTCTCTGTTCACCTGCTTGGAGGCCTACCTAAATGACAGAACAATCAAGGAAATAGTAACCGACACCCACTCCGAATGCCTGTGCCGCTCCAGTGGTGTACGGCAATGATCCGTCTTCGACCTGCTCCTGTTTTAGCTTACATAAATAGCCTCCTTTCAATCATTTATCCCCAATGCAAATATTTGCTAACGAGGTTAAGTTATGGGGAGCAATTCATTCAGCAGAAAGGAACCAGTTCTCACTGAACGCTGCAAAGTGCCACCTGCTAACAATGAGCAGCAACTTTATCTATACCTCTTTCGGGGTAGTCCGTCCTACAACAAGTGACTAGTGAAGGAGACTTAGATTAGTCTTGGCAATTCGCTCAAACGTTCGAAAGCAGCAAATGTGACGAACTCGAAGTTGCTGCTATTGAGGTGGGCTTCCGTTACTTTTGAGCGACGGCTAGTACCACTAATGATTAATTCGTATATTCTTCCTAACGTTGAAAATGCGGTTCAAGCCTGGCGCCCATGGCTAAACCGAGACATTTGTCTGTTGGAACAGCACCAAATGAACTGTCCGGTTTTCGTCTTTGTTTTCTCTCTGTGTTCTTCTCAGAATAACGACGACTTCGTAGAGATTTCACTCTCATATACTAGATAATAATTGGGTGGGAGAAAGCATCTAAATCATTGTTGACCTTAGCCCCTTACAAACAATGCCGATCGCGCTACCTGAAATTAATACTACTGCAATCTCGTTTGGATTGCGGATGGATTATTTTACTCTCTACGAATCTGTTCCCACGATAATGCAACGTCATCACTTGTGCTGAACGCACCAGACCTCCCGACATTCAAAAGACTATCATAATTCCATCCAAGCGGTAAACGCTACACAACAGTGTGATAAATTTCGATGTCTAAACTATTGATAATTCTCCTTGCACGCCGGAACACTATGATTTTGATTTGATTTGTTTTCGCACTTCTGTGGGTCTTGTAAATCTCTTGCTTCTTTATTATCATTCACTGCTGATCTCTTGTTTCTCCAAGAGACCAAGTTGATCATCCCCAAGTTGTATTTGCCTACACTCCGCATCGTTGCGTACAAATTGGCGTCAACGAACACCAGCGGTGCCCCGTAGGCAACGACGAGCAAATACCCGAAGTCACTCACCGTAGTTTTGTATAAAAACTAAGTGAACTCCGCTTCTGATATAAAAAGGATGGTTCTGTTAACCGAAATGTAACCTGGATCAATATCTTGTCCAATAAATTACATTGTTAAGTTGGCCTTAGCTGCAATGAAGGCAGATCAGCAACATCTAAGCCTCATGCACTTTGTCCTTCTGCGTATTTAACTTCAGTGTATTACCTAAAGATCTGGATTAGAGGTTACAGTATTCCTATATTAATAAATAAGGCAAAATCTGAATTACTGCACTCAATAATGTCGGATACTTCAGTTTTGCTTGTCTTTATTTCCGTAGCTATCTTTTCCACATCTATATCATGGCAGTACCGTTTTACTAGGTAACGCGCACTTGCTCTCTTAAGCTTTGATTTTTACCCGTGATAGACTGTAGTTACATGGTACTACCTTTCAATCTAAAAGTAGCTGGGTACTAACTTTTACCGAGACGTTCTTTAAGATTGGTTTTTGATATCGGGAGCAGTGATACATGTGAGACTTTTCGCCGTAGAGCAACACTTATGTCGTTAATCCGGGTTCTAAACTCGTCACTTAGGCTCAGAACACCCGGTATATGGAAAAGTCATTAAACCAGGATCCGACTGTTGGCGCGGACTTCCTCACAAATGTTTGCAGAGCGCACTGCATTGACATAAGCGAGAAGTGGCTAAAGTCCAAGATGCCAATGAGTCAACTTGAGTTACACGTCAATCCGTCCGTCATATGTACCCAGTTGAGGGATCGCCTTTCTGTTGATCGCTACCTTCGCAACTCATATGTAGGTGAAGATCGGCCATCGAACTGGCTGTAGTCTAACGTGTTAGGTCATGAAAATCCACAACTCGGCTCCCCGAGCCGCACACTATATGTCAAATAAAGCCAGTGTTAGACACACACGAGAAATAGGGTTCAAACTTGCGGTGGTTTAAAACGGTCAGTATCGAAACTCGAATTTCTTCGGCTTCATCCTCTGACATTTATCACAGCAATACGCGATGTTGTGATGGTGCTGATGAAAAGCACCACCCTCATGTACTGGGGGTTTGTCCACCCCGGTATACCATCCAAACCACAAGTGTTCATTTCGCAACGGAGCGCGAATCGTGTGTCAGTCTAAGGGATGGAGGCAGAAATACCACATGCCCACAACGTAGAACTGTCTTCAGAAATGAAAACTGATCTCAGGATAACAACGAACGTAGACGTCAACAGGCGAAAGTAGCAACAACTTACATGGATCAATGGAAGAGCTATGCGCCCAAGAAACTCAGAATCCTCTTTATCCTCTTGAAGTACCGTTATGTGCAGTACATCGTACAGATCGCCGATTGGACTACAATAAATTTGGTCAAAAAGATAACTGGAGTTAGTGAGGCTTCACGTCGTATGATAAACGGTGACCAGTTAGTCGCACGCGCAGCGAGTATTACGAAACCTGATAAATCAGCTGTCGTCGATAAGTTCATTATAAAGAACACGGATTTTGTGATGTGCTGCCCCACGGTAGGCCTCTGTCGACTCTTCCTCTAGATCTATCGTGCAGCTTCGTGGATACTGGTGTCATATCACAAAGCGAATTATTGCTCATCCTGCTATATCTGATTGCATATATGATCACCTGATTCAAAACTATTGGTCCTAAAGTGTCAGTTGTGTTATAGCTAAAATAACCTTCTTAGATTATAGCCGTAACCGTAGTGGGAATAATACCACTGAACTGGTATCTTACTCCTGCATAAAGTAGGCCACAGTAATTTTTGCTCTGGTTACCTTCTGATGCTGCTTGAATTGTGAGAAGCAGCTATAGGTAAGCGCAATGATTGTTTGTTTGATAAAAAAAACTTTGATCGTGCTTTTCTCTATGTTGAATTATACCTGCGTTTGAATTTTCCTGAATGGCTTTTATAAAGAAACATGAGTAGGAGAACCACTTGTACAAATAAGTTGCGACTGGCGAATGCGGTGTAAGCAAGTTGAAATCATTCATTCCCTCCCATCAGCTCGGATAATGAAACGCACTGAGAAATGCGAAACTTACAAGACAAAGGACTGATTCCACGTGGGGTTATTTGTTTTGTACACTGTCGATGTATATGCACAACGATTGACCAATCTAAGTGCACAATATGGGTCCAGTTTTCCGTTTCGGTCTTTGGATGTCAGCTCTCTAGCTTGTTGTACTGTTTCGAACCGAAAAGAAACCAATTGAAATAATTTTATGTGTCTTCAAAATGTGTGTTCATCACATGTGTACGTGGTGATATAACCGAGTATTCAGTTGGAATGTACTTGAGGAGCATTGCATGTGTAACTGCACAATAGTAATGTATGATGACGTAAGTGAGCATGTCTGCTGACCTTTAGGACTGTCGCAATAAAGAGAATTACAGCAATTTAACTCACAGCAAGCCACCAATGGTTAGTTGCACGGCTTCGTTTTATTATAGAATGACATAAAAATAAATGGGTTATCGGTATTCGTCGATCAAATTTCACTGCTTACTCCAACGAGCAGTTGAGCATGATTGAAACAGAATAGCAGAATTCACAATATAGGAAAATTCATTTCTACCGTGGATTTCAACTTTAAGAGGAAGATGCGATTGAAACCAAGCTTCTGGGTTCGTTGCGCGAGCGGTGGGATCTGCTACGATAGTTCTCACTAACTTGTTCATGTCATGCCTTTCGAGCATGCGTTCGGTAGTCATGAAGCTGGTGTTCAACGCGCGTGCAAACAGATGGCTAACCTTCCTACTAGCCTCGTCAAGTATTAAGCGATAGTTTGTTTTGCTACTGATTGTTTGACAACGAACAAGATCAACCACGATTTATCTAACCGGTGGTTCACTGGGATTCACACAAGCAAAGTTTACGCTCGTTGAAAATCAAATATCATTTGATAATAGAAAGGCTCCTACGGTCTGGTGGGTAATGAGAGTAGTCACGTAGTCCAAACGGTGCCGGGGATGTCATGGATCGTGGCCTTGCATGGGAGTTCCTGGGTGCAACCATAGCAAACGTTACTGAGGTATGTGGTGTTTTATACGGTCCTAAGGGAGAGAACAACGTCGAAACCCCCACTTCCATTACAGTCCCGATGCTCAAAATAGTAAAGACTGATTTCAAAATTAACCGAAACCACAGTTGAGACTGTGTGTCGTAAACCAGGACACACGACGGGTGCTCCAAAACCTGACCATTACCTTAGAACTTTCATAATCTTTCTGAATTTTTCTAATATTTCGTAAAGACAGCAGGGTAAACTGAGGAAAAGCGGCAGTGGAGCAATTGCTCATCATCCATGTCAGGACTGGTGTGATTCGCATGTGGATTCGGATGGCAGGGTGGACAAAATATTTAAGTAGAATCTGGTCAGATTCCTTCAGCATAATAAGGATTTCTATTAAATGTAAAGTATCACCTCTACTCTACCATGACATCCGAGAAATTGGGGCATGAATTAGACTCAGTGGGGAAATCCTTTAGCACTTCGAAGACATTCGTGATTCCAAAGTAGTCGGAAAATCTCTTTCACGTTTCGGGTCTAGTCGTGAGTCGCGGGTTTCGAACAGTCTAGAAGGTCGTTGTGATCAGGCTCATTTCTATTCAAACATGACATATGTCTTTTGATCTCTGTATACGTTGTATGTAGTTCATTCGCGAAGTAATCGATGCACACTAGTGCACAGTCGTTAAGGTTGACTTTCTGGACAGCTTAACATGTGACACCTTTCGGAAACACCGAAGGAGCTTGTTATGGAAGCGAAGCGCTATCCAGAAAATACACCGACCGATGATGCTCAAATCACAAAGAACTCAGCAGTTTATAAAATTTATCTCACAAGATTGTGCTCAAAATGAAACTGCCCTTATTTTGGCCGGTATCGCAATGAGTGGCTCGGAATTTGGTCTCGTGCGAGGGGTCTTTAATCATGTTGACTTAGCAACCTTTACATGATATTATATGCTGGTCTGCATCCTTAACCAGTGGACATCCGAGGAGGTACACGGTTGAGCGAGACAGATTTTACCAGTCGCAAGGTACACTGCCATAAAACGCCACACTTTCAGGAAACCAGAAACCCAATACTTAATCTGCTGTACATTTCTACAGTTGGGATAGAATGATGTCAACTGGATCAGAAGACACTGCTGGGATACCATACTATTGTCTTAGTACTAATCCAAGCTGCTTACTGCACCTGCTTTGCCCTGCTCCTTCCGCGTCACACGTGCGTGGGACATCCGTTAGATTACACGCTTTGCCCAAAAATAAGCAGTGCACCAACGCAGTTCAATTATTAATAAAGTGCAATTTCACTTTATGAGTGTTTTTGGCCAGAAGCCCCTGGATGGACGAACATCTATGGTACAGTTCCGTGATATGATATCTATTGCTTTCAAAGAGGTGGTCGGTTATCTTCCAGTCGTTGTATTCCGCTATGATCTATACGAACAAAGCTGACTTAAGCTGGCGTGATGCGAAGCAGCGTTTTCAAATCAGCCTGGTTGAACTCTTTCGCCACTTACCAGACTGGATATACGATCGGAATGTAGAAAGTAGGCGTTGCGTAAGCGTGCGGATAGAATTGTCTTACACCCCTCTGCATACGCCTGTGTCATATTCCTGCAGTATAGCAAAAGAAATGAATGTATGCTCAACATAGCGAATGATACACCGCTGACCACACACGGTTCATCAGCAAACTCAAGCATCCGGCCGTTGGTCATGATTGCCGTACGATGCACGCATGGTAACCGGTGACAACCACTATATGCTGTCGCATAGTATGCGACGGAGAAATGAGATCTAATATCTGTTGAAAACAGGAGGTCCACAGAAGGGAATCTGGGTCCAATGTATTACTTGGAATACACAAACAGTTAAGAAAATGACTGACTAAGTTCTTTGTTGCGCATGTCACGCTCCATTAAGGCTGCTTTGTTATTATGTTGCAACATTTAGAACGCATTTGGAAGTGGATCGGCTAGGATTTTTCAATAAGCAAGCTGGTTTCACCCCACAACCCACAATAGTACTCGTATCATTTCACGCTGTACACGCAAAAGTCGTGATATTTCAAGCCAGTTGCCTTTATTTGTGAGCTGCCTTCCATTTGCTTATCGATCCAACATAGTGCACTTTACCAGCGGACTGCGGTTAGCGTAGATATCCAAGGTGCTTCCGTCCCTGCCCGCTACTCAAACTGCGGGAGTCCTTAGAGTGTGTACACCAACGGAAGGGGATTAGTGTTTTGCAATGCGCCACCAAAATTCCCACCCCCACACTCCATTCCCAGTGTGAACCGGAGAAATAAACCTGTGAGATATGCAGATGTGATCCACGGTGGATTCGGAGACGGCACACGCTCCCCAGCATACAGATCATTGATATGTAATGGTGTGGAAAACCTCCATACAAGACGTTGGTCCAAAGCTGTCTTTCCTGTGGCCCGTTCCATGATGGAACCATTCGTAGCGATCGGTATTGCCAAAAGGGCTGCACACCATGCGCCTTTTCGCAACAACTAGCAGAATGTTGCAGGCAACATTCAAGGGGAAGGCGTAGAACGGATAGGTACCTTGCCCACATTTGCATGAGACAGTTGAACATTGTATATCCCTCTGGGATGATTGGTACCAGAAAGCCATACCTTTAGGTGTTTGCCTAACCAAACTGATACCAAGCCCATCACCCGGTAACTATCTTACAAGCTTAACTATTAGTAGTTCAAAAGTCACAGCTTGAAAGCAAAAGGACCACGAAATGTCTGACCTCAGGTTTACTAAAGGGACATATATCAGCGGGGTTATTGACAAGAAGTGAGGAAGTATATACTGCCCATACACATAAATTTTTTAATTCCTACTAAAGTGCAATACCATAATGTATCATTGATATCACTAAGAGGTGTTTCACACTGCAAATTACTGCAGGTATTTATGAATAGAAAACGCTTCTTCGCCACTTACTGTGAATGTACAGCCAACCCACGTCGGATCGGGACTCCAAAGTACGCATCAGTCCCTGTGTGGAAAGTAAAAGTTTAGCTTTTAGTAGGTTGTATCCCTTTAGTTTTACTTGATCAAACTTTTCTACATTCACTGCAGTAGTGCTAATATGTGCGTGTTGCCAACCAACTACTTCGGGAATCTCCATAACAAAGATTTGACCAGGGAATTTATAACCATCAGAAAAATATGCCAGATTTTTCATTTTTCTTGCCTTTTGTTGTTTCATCCGTTAATAGAGGTCGGAACGTTAGCTTTAGCTACATGCTCACGCATCGCCTTATAGTTTAGATAAGGAGGCGAACAGAAACACTGGAAGCGCGTCCAGGTAAAAATTTTTAGTCCTTTCGAGGATCAGGTGATTTTATTGATCGTTGACACTTATTCTAAGTGGAATGAAGCCCACCTTCTGGCCTCAGCAACTTCAAGTAGCATCGTAACTAAATTGCGCACAACCTTCGCGATGTCCGATCTTCCCGAAACACTAGTGTCCGAAATGGCCCTTCGTTATCGTTTGCCGCATTTGCCATTTCTCTTAGCTCTAACGATATTAAACACTTGACTAATGCATCTTATCATCCATGCCCCAACGGGTTGACAGAGAGGGCGGAACAGACAGTAAAAAATTAACTAATAAAACACCTAAATGTTCCAATGACTGTGTTTAAATCGTTCCATGTTAGCGTACCGGAACATTCCAAACGCGACAACCGGTAGAAACATTGCTTGTGTACACGATTAGCTTTAGTGCATGAGACAATCTAGCAGTCACGCAGGGACGGAAAATGATTTTAGAGTCATCTATACTGTTCCTGAACGGTTCACGCGCGGATTCCGGATACGTCTTCTGTTTATTGCGGAAGCTATCTACATCCACCACCTCAAGCCAGAATTGTGTGTACAAAAACAGTTTGTACGTCCTTTGCTTCTAACGTGGCCTACAACTTCGGCTATGATTTCCCCTGTACATACTTTGCCACTTCCAATGACCCTGTGATTTATTGATTTGTACACGTGAAATTAAACATTCTGTTCAATACGCAGCTCAATCCGGCACATTTAGCACTTTCTCCTCATCATGTAATATTTGAGTCCGATGAGAATTACCGAAAAGAATGCTTTACTCTGATTCTGCCTCCCTTGATTCGTTCTAATAAATGGGAATTTTTGGATTGCTGAGGATCAGCATTCCCCGCGATTCAGTCAAGACCATCTAGCCACAAGTTTCTGGAAGGCAACAATGGGCGAAGGAACAGTTTGACAATTGCAGCAGAGACAGATATGTCATAGACCATATTTACATCCGTTTACCGATAGATTTTGAGTGAGACAAAGCCGTCTTCAAAACACCAAACGGACAGATCCTAAAAGAAGAAATCGGGGATTGCAACACCGTGCGGCGCCATTTGGACCATGTGTGACCAAAAAACATGTGCTAAACCATTCAAAGCATCGCTCAATATGCACGTGACTGACGCCTGACCAGTAAATGAAACTGTTACGTCGTTTTAACCGTCCACCCTGACGAGGAGAGCGCTTTCAGGTCGGTTAGCCCAAACCAACGGGGGGGGGGGGAAGATGACACAGTGCTCAGACACGCCAAATCCATCCACCGCTATTCAGCCGGAAGGGCTACTAATGCTGCGTAGGAGCACGTAGGAGTGCTTGCATTCCTGTGTACCAACCAGTCAGTGCTCATCGTTGTTTCTCTTCGAAATAGAAATCGTTCAAACATGCAGGTGACTCCCATCGCAGTTTTTACGTGCTCCCCTGTGTTGAATAAAGCTTCAGTACTACCAAGCTGTCGTTTTCATTTCGCTGGAGTGTAACAATATGGACAGCGCATGTGCAACTTGAAGTGAAAGGTATATATCTACAGGGTGTTCTAATACATACTTCAGAAACTAGGAGAGGCGACGCTTACGTGCCGACGTACCCCGGCACACTGAATTGTCAATTGTCCAATGGCACAAACTGCTTTGCCAAACATGTCGGCAGGGATGAGAGGGGACACAGAGGCGCAACATATGTGTCTACGATCGCAACGCACACCAAGGAAAAGCGAGCCGTTCGGTTGTGAGAAGTGAGTGTTAGCCAAACAGCGAAGCCGCACTGGACACGTCCTACTTTGATCGATTGGTAGTCGGCTTTCAGGCAGGTGAAAAAGCTGGCAAAATGATCCCTGCAAAATGGATAGTGGCTCGCTGTTCTTGCAATTGAGAAGAATGGCTCAGCCCTATGCAATAACCGATGGGCGCCGGTTGCTACCGCAATCCATGGCAAAGGAGAATTTCGACAAATGCTGTTTTAGCTTCATGACTGGCTGCTAGTAGACCCGGAAGCTTTCATTAGGCTGGTTTCGCTGTTAAAGTAAACCGTAATGCCAGGAGTACTTTATAAGCTTACAGTCTTGTTCGTTTTACCATTTCGATTGTGTGTGCTACAGCTGAACATTCACGCTTCATGAGTGAATACAAAGGACTACTTGACTTGACAAGGATGTTAGATTGCAGTGTGCCCCGAACCACTTGTAGCATCATTAGACAGCACACCAATTTAGTCATGAATGCAAGTATTGCGCTCATCGTCAGACAATTGTTTGTTATACAAATTGATCATACCATTGATGGCGTTTCTCGTGTGCAATCGGGAATAGACATTTATTCATTTCTCGGATTATGTTTACATGAAATGTGTGAAACGTCTTTCCTTTTCATGAGTGTCTCCTATAGGTCGTTGTTTAACAGTTCTAATATCTGACATTCCTTAGCATCTTCATACACGGTAATGTTGCACACCGGAGTCAATGCGCAGCTACAATCGGAAGGGTTAATGAATAACGGTTGATGGCAGCAGGATGTCGCACCTGCACATTTGGCTCATTCAGTTCGTGCCTACCTGAACGAGAATTTTGTTGGACTTTGGATCTGTCGAGCAGGACGGCTAGAGTGGCCTGCGCGGTCACCGGATCTAAATCCCTTGGATTACCTTCCTATTGAGAAAGTTAAAGCGCAGAGTTTATAGAAAAAACCCAACAGCCTGGAGGAACTGAAAGAGGACATTGTGAACGAATGTAGCCGGATTTCGTTGGAGGCATTGCAGAAACTGCTCCTAACGCCATCTGGCGAATGCTTCTCTGCAGTTAAAACGACGGAGGGTGCTTCGAACACACAATTCGTTGGTATATGCAGACATTTCACACATTTCATGTAAACATAATCCGAGAAATGAATAAATGTCTATTCCCGATTGCACACGAGAAACGCCATCAATGGTATGATCAATTTGTATAACAAACAATTGTCTGACGATGAGCGCAATACTTGCATTCATGACTAAATTGGTGTGCTGTCTAATGATGCTACAAGTGGTTCGGGGCACACTGCAATCTAACATCCTTGTCAAGTCAAGTAGTCCTTTGTATTCACTCATGAAGCGTGAATGTTCAGCTGTAGCACACACAATCGAAATGGTAAAACGAACAAGACTGTAAGCTTATAAAGTACTCCTGGCATTACGGCTTACTTTAACAGCGAAACCAGCCTAATGAATGCTTCCGGGTCTACTAGCAACCAGTCATGAAGCTAAAACAGCTTTTCTTTTGCCATGGATTGCGGTAGCAACCGGTGCCCATCGGTTATTGCATAGGGCTGAGCCATTCTTCTCAATTGCAAGAGCAGCGAACCACTGTCCATTTTGCAGGGATCCTTTTGCCAGCTTTTTCACCTGCCTGAAAGTCGACTACTAATCGATCAAAGTAGGACGTGTCCAGTGCGGCTTCGCTGTTTGGCTAACACTCACTTCTCACAACCGAACGGCTCGCTTTTCCTTGGTGTGCGTTGCGATCGTAGACACATATGTTGCGCCTCTGTGTCCCCTCTCATCCCTGCCGACATGTTTGGCAAAGCAGTTTGTGCCATTGGACAATTGACAATTCAGTGTGCCGGGGTACGTCGGCACGTAAGCGCCGCCTCTCCTAGTTTGTGACATAAGTAATAAAACACTATGCGATCAAATGCGCGCTCCTCTCCTTTATGTCTTGTCTAGAAATGAAATGATGCCAATTCTCATATTTCTTAATGTTATTGACTTGTGGTTCATTGTCCTGGATACCATGATATACTATACTTTCGCCTATCACTTTAAATTCAAAAGTCTGTTTTGGCGTGATTCTTGCTCTACACTAGATGATGTGGAAGCCAAGAATTTTATATAGAAGTAACTAGCCCTTATCTAGGCAGTACGCTATCCCAAATACAGGCCAGTTCGTGCAACAGATGCACACCATACTGACCCATCCGTTGTCCTTTTTTGGTTCTTCACGGGATATGGAGATGAGCATTAGCCTGACCTACATTGTCGGAGGATGATTGCTGATCTACGTGGGTCTCCCTTTGCTTACGGCAATGTAGTAAAAATGTCCTCAGCTTCGGAGGCTAATATGCACTGTGACAATATCGGTTACCTTATTGATCGACTTTATACTTCCACCTCAACCCGGGAAAGTTTCCTTGTACCTAGAATATTGGCCTGGATTGTAACCCAGACGCAATGGATGCACTTAATAACTTTTGCGCAATACCCCATACTACTCACCTATTTACGGCCTACAAATTTTGCTTAAAACCAAAAGATAGCATATAATATTTGTAAGTTATTCATCCCGATAGTTCACAAGCTACATAGCACAGTCTAGTCCGGAAAAGCACCAGACGCGTTTCGCCCTACTGGGGCTCGTCAGTGGTGTGCATTCCCTCGGTCCTCTAATGAGGATCGAACCCATGACCGCTAGAGGCAGATGCCAGTGACTTAAGCTGCTGGCTAATTGGCATGTCTCTGGCGGTCATGGGTTCGATGCTTATTAGAGGACCGAGGGAATGCGCACGACTGACGAGCCCCAACAGGACGCAACGCGCGTGGTGCTTTTCCTGACTAGGCTTAGCCATGTAGCTTGTGAACTATCAGGATGAGGAACTTACAGATATTATAACTAAAATCCTGCTACGAGTAATACAT